GTGGACGTATTACCCTCAGAAAAGTGGGCGTATTATCCTCAGAACTATGTAGTTTACATTCCCTTTGTCAGAGGGCAGTAGTGCACAACAGCATTTTGCGGTTACAGGTTTTGGGCCCATATGTCCTCTCTCAGGTTTCTCTCTGCTACAAAAAATTCGTTATGGATTGAAAAAATTAATAGAGAAGATTGGAATCCCTAAAAAAAATGGTTTATATATATGAAGTAAGATATATACACAGTATCAAATATGTATTGTTCTTAATGACTGAAAATTGAGTATTTATTGCATTGACATTTTATAGATGCATTTTTCTTATAATATATGGGAAAAACCTCGTATAAATGGAAAACGAAAACTGAAACATAATACAGTATCAACAATTATAGACACAGGAAAGTGATACTTTAACAGAAATAAGTAATGATCGCGTTTCTCATAAGACTTTTCATAAGTATGTATTAAACGCTACGAGCGCGATAATGCTAATAAAATTGTTAGACATTTTTGTAAAAGTGAGAAATTGAACAATAATTGCGTGCTACAAGTATTATAACATTTATTGACATACAATTAAGTCTAACGAGTTTTCGATACATTGAATTGTAAGAAACGTTCTTAAAATTCTACGTGAAATCATTGTTTGATTTATATGTCAATAATAGTTTTAATTACATGCTTATCGTAATTATTGTCTAATTTCGCTTTTTTATTACATTTCTCTGACTATTTTATCAATGTAATTGAAAAACAATCCGATACTCAAAGGATTCAATATTCAAGAATTTAATTTCATCACTCTAATTTATAATTTTTAAAATTATTATATTTAAAGTCTGTATTATATTAAAAGACAAAGAGATAGTGTAGTAGACGGGAAAAGTAAAAAGAAATGTATTTTTATAAACATGTGAATGCGTCCAATTAATATGAGTCCTGCACGTAAAGCACCTCGCGTCTAAAGCCCATAGCACATAAGGCCGTAACACGTAAGCAATAAGTGAATTGGCCAATCATAGTAGAGAGAGTAATGCCAGTAGCGAATCCAATATTACGATTTCCTTACTAATTATGTCTTACGGCCTTACGTTTTTCTATGTGCTCCCGGCTTAACCGTGAGTGTCGTTTCTGCTTTTACGCAGCTCGTGATACGCTAACTATTTCTTCTTGTAATTTGAAAACTAAGCTACAGGCAAAATTTTCGCAAAAAAAAAATCATCTTAGAATTAAGTCAGGAATATGACACTTAAAGGATAAAGGTTTTTTCTGAATCACTCTGTATATGTGCCAAAGCGTAAGTCGATTGACCTAGTACCTTATGAGAAAAATACATACTCGATTTGAAAAAAGTCGTTTTGAGAAAAACGTGTTTGAAGTTTCTCATGCATTTACGAGGTGAATAATGAGTAATTTCAATAATTTATCCTTGATCGGCTATACTAGCTGTATAAAATATTTTCCTCGAAGAGCTCGAGAACACATTAATCCTTGTAATAGAAATTTTTAACAAAATTTCACAGATTAGACTGCGTTTGGAAGCCCGAGTATTTCCACGTATTGTTTTATCCTTATTACTCAGTTGTAACATCCGCCGAAATAAACGCAAATGTACTTCTACTTAGAGAGCTTTGCGCCACATATACAATATACAATTTCCAAGCTGGTGTCTGATGATTTCTGCGGATCGTGGGGAGCAGGAGCACGTGCTTTTGCTGATTGAGTATTAAAAAATAGTCGCGAGGTATACCACTTTGCTAGTGCTTATTTCAGGATACGTATATCCAAAACCACTCGGCAATAGTAGCGATTCTACAATCGTTAACTGCCTTGGATACAATCGATCGCAGTAGGTTAGTGCATATCTAATCTCAAAGTGCAAAGTAACTTATTTGAGATACTGAACCCTTTCCCCCATGTAAACGGGGGAAGGGCCACCGATAACGCTACAATGAGTATTCAAGATAAACTTACAAATGAAAACGAAATGGATTGGTCTTTAATCCATAAAAACAAAAGGAAAATAAGTAAGTAAATGAAGACAACGGTAACAAGAAACACTCGTCTAATTCCTCTCTAGAAGAAAATCATTCGAGTATGGAACCAAAAGTTGACAAACCAATATATTCGACAAAATCCATGATTAATGAATATCAATTAGATAATAAAGGCCCATACACAGTATGGGTTCAACTTATTGCTTCAAATAAAACGAGTAAAAATTCCAACCAAACTAAAAGAATAAGCCCCTTCAAAGTAGGAAGTTTTATATGCAAAAAATACACCAACATAACTTATATCTGTAGCAAAACAAAATCTAGAGTCGAGGTTGGATTCAAGAATTTTCTTGAGGCAAACCAAATGCTGAAAGACGTATCACTATCTGAGAAAGTACTGAAAGCTTTCATTCCGAGTTTCAGACTCGTAAGAAGAAGTTTAATCAGGGGTATCGACGAAGACATCTCGGAAGAGGAAATTACTGAAGCCACAAAAGCTGAATATAAGGTATTGGGTGTTAGAAGACTCAACAAAAGAAATAGAGACCCCGATATCCAAGAAAATGATCCTAAATGGGTATCCAGCAGATCGGTAGTGATAACATTTTCTCATCAGAGCCTTCCTAGTGAAATTGTGATCCATAAGGTCAAAGTCAAAGTGGAGCCTTATATGACCTTATCAATTATGTGTTTCAACTGTTTTAAATTAGGTCA